CTCACCGGTGTCCGAGAGCTTGTCGAGGCTCGCGGTGGTTCCATTTCTCCGCGCCCCCCTCGCGCTCCATCGGACCCTTCTCCTACTTGAGGCGCACCCGAGGGCCCCAGGGAGCGTCGCGGCGACTCGTCGGCCCCGCGCTCAACCCGCGCTCGCTCGGATCGCTCACTCATCTTTAGCGCATCCGAGAGCAGCGGGGAGCGTCGTGGTGACTCCTCAGCCACGGGCTCAACCTGCGCTCGATCGGATCGCTCTCTCACTACTCCGAACTTCCCTCTTCCGACAGGGCAATCTTCCCTTCTTTCGCTTCCTATCGCTTTCCCGAACTGGACATCCTCGAGATCCGACACGTTCAACCGCTCATAACGGCGCGACAGACTATTCCAAAATTCCTCTGACCTACTCTTAGCTATTTCCGGATATGCGCCTCCAACTCCGCGCGCCGTTCCCTCAATCGCGCCATTCTTATTCTGGTCCGGCGCCTCGGCCGCGAATAACAACGCAGCCTCCCCGGGCCCGACCTCCTCACTCCCATTGATCTTCCCGTTACCGGTTCTCGTTGCGCGAGCCACCCTGTTCCGGTGCAACTCAAGCGCCAACCGCGCTCGCCCGAGCAGACTTAAGCAGGGGTCGACGAGCGAGTTTCGGCCCCCGCCTGCGAGTTTCCCTGTTGCGCCAGACCATCCGCACACGTAGGGCAGTTCTGGAAGACCACCCCCGCGGTCCCGCAAACCTGGCAGCTAACCGCGGCCCCCGGACACGCATTAGCAAAGTGCCCGGCCTGCCTACACCGATAACAGGTGGGGAGCGGCCTACCTCCCTCGCGATTAACGCGATTCGGACACTGCGAGCTCCTATGTCCCCTGCCTCCACACGTGAAACAATTACCTCCGAACGCGCGCGAACTCCCGCCAGCGCCATCACCGCCTCGCTGCGCGCCCCTCTGCTGGGGAACTAAACTTGGCGGAACCGAGGACTGTGTCCGTGCCGCATCTGGATCCGCCGGAACGGCCGAGGGTGCGGAATTATTCGCACTGATTCCCCCGCCGGCTCCGGAATCCGAGGTCGGCCCGCCACCCTCGCCGGGCTGCGCTGTAGCCGTGAGTACGTCGCTCTTGGACGCGTCACTACTCTTTCCTTTTGACCGCCTCTTAGAACGTCGCGCACCCGATCCGTCCTCCGGCGTCACCTCGGCGCCCTTTTCCGCCTCCAACACCGCGGTCCTTGCCACCTTTCTCGCTGGTCCCGCTGAGCTTCGATACGCCGCGTCCTGAACCAGCATGCTGTCGGCCGCCGGAGGTGGCCGCCACTTCTTCTCCCTTGCCCGCTGACGCTCAAATTCGCAGCCCACCCTCTTCAGTTCCTTGAGCGTAGCAAACGACTTCCCGTACAGGTACCTCGCGAAGGTGGGATGCAAGCCTTCTTTGCAAATCGCCACCTGCCTTCTCTCCGACGGAGGCCTATCAAAACGGCGAACGATACATTGGAAGGCGGTCAGGTAATCACCCACCGTCTCTCCCTCTGCCTCTGTCCTTAACCGTAACTCCTGGTATAAATCCTCCGAATATAATTATAATGCCTTCCGAATTCCTCCTTTAAATCGGTGAGAAACTCCCCGAGGGTTCGCCAAGTATTTTCATTATTACGGTACCAGAGCGCCGCCTTCCCCGTTAATATTATGCCTACTGCCCGGAGTACTTCTTCATTTCTTAACCTGTAAAAATCCTGGCATTTCCTAATATCACTTGTGAAACCATCCACATCCGCTCCCCCGTCGCCCGAAAACTTCAGCGACCAAGAGCGAAAGACCTTCACCGAGTCCACCGGTTTATAACGTCGGGGTGACGCAGACCTGAGCGCCTGCAAGTACTCCGGCGCTTCGGTCTGCGACTGACCAACCCCGCCTCATCCGGCCCGTCCTCATCCGAACTCGGGGACTCGCTCCAACTATCTTCCCAGTCGCTTGCCGATGGGCACCTCGGCCTGTACTTCTCCCTAAATTCCCCCGGGTCGGCAAACCATGGCCTGGCCCGCGGCGATGTTCCCTCGGTTTTCACAGCGTAATTCTCTCGCGAGCCGCCCTTCAACAGTTTACTAACTAAATCTTCCCAATTCTTCATGGCCTCTGCAACCTCGCGTGGCAGTGCCGGGGTGCTCGTTCTCCGGTCGAACGACCCCAATACTCTCTCCTCGGTGGCGTCGCTTTCCACTTTGGAGAAAAATTCGTCTTCCGAAACCGGCTCACGCGAGCTACTTTCTCTCCGCCGGCGCGACGCAGAGCGAGATCGTCGCCCCTCTCGCGCCCGTCTACGTGGCGTCCGAGTCGTCGTCACGTCCCCGGCGCGCGGCGCATCCCGCCTATCCGCCTGCATCCCCAACGCGGCCTCTTCTACGCGATATAAATTATTCGCGCTTTCCGATAATGCTGCACGTACTTCCCTCCGCATAACTAAGCCAGGCAGGCTTGTGACGATGTTCCACGCTTGTCCGAAAACGCTCGGCCCCCCCGCGGCACCCCGGAACGCCATCTCTCCGTGAGACGCCAACTCTCTCCTCGCATCGGCGGGAGCCGTCGCCCCATCCTGTGACGCAATTCGGGCGCTATCCTGCCCGTCCTCACTCCTATGCTCCGGCCCACTTCTCTGCGCCGCTACCGGCGGCGGCCGCTCGTCCGAGGATGCCAAGCTCTCTCGCCTGCGAATTAACGCAGGCTCGATCCGGCCTTCCAGACGTCCATTACTCCCCTCGCCTCTATCGGGCTGCAGGTCCATGTTGACCTCACGCGATTCCTCCCGCAGAATGGCCTCCGACGGGCCCGGCATAACCCCCGACTTAAAGTCACCCGGACTCAGGGGCGGATTAAGCTCCGGTCGTTCACGCGAGATCATGTAGCGCAGCATGCGCTCCTGAATTTCCCCGAGGCTACCCGTCACGCTCAGGCCATAGCTCTTAAGGAGACTCAGCAACTCCGCGGGCGGCGTTTCGTTGATTCGCCGCTTAAGAGCCCGCACCGACCTATCTTTTAATATTTTGCGCATAATCGCGCCCGCCGTCCCGCTTGGCGGCATCCTGACAAGCCCCCTGCTTCTCACACCGCCCGAACGCTCGATCTACTATCACGCTCGCGATGTGGGCACACCCGGCGACCGCGTCGCGCAACTGTCCAATTATAAAACGAAATTAAACAAACAAAAAAAAACACTAACGACCAACACTAACTTGCCCTAAATTATCGTCCGGCCAATTCTCATCAACGGCGGATGCGACTTCTACGCATTCGCTTTCTTTCGTTTGTCCGTTACTTAATCAATAATATAAAATAAACTTTCAGGCAGTGCGAATTATACGCACTGCTCTGCGTCCTTAATCTCAAAATAAAAACACAAATACTAACTACTCTCTCTCTCGTCGCGGCTCCCAGGCAAGGGCGCACCTTTATAATCCGCTGATCAAAACAGATTAGTACCCAATGGCCATACCGTTTAAGCATCTAACTAACTACACTGACAACACCCGCTTCTTAAATGGACTCGTCTAGCCGTCCTTTTACTGGCCGTATACCATGGGTATAGTGAACAGTGGCCTTCGACACGTTAGGTCGATGACTCACTCGCCCGTGCCTGAGTATAGCGACGACAACACAACCATGCTACAATTTCGGCCTCGTATCTCTCTCTCGATCGGCGCTCTCTGTGAACCCGCGATGAGGAATGTAAACAAACACCGCTCAAGCCGCGACTCTACGCAGCTCGGCCGATCGTTCGATCACCTCCCCTCTCGGCCTCAACCGACTTTTTCAAATTCTTTTGTCTACGCGAATTACTTTTCTATTTTATAATTTCGCGTCTTGTCTCTCTTTCTCGCGATCATCTCAATCCCGATTTCCGCGATTTCCCCACAAGGGATACCATGTAACACGTACGTTAGTAATTTAAGCCCGAACAACGTTGCGTCACAAATTATTTAAGGGGAAAGGCTCGGAAGGCGCATTCGCTTCGTCGCAAAAATTTAACGAGGGCTATGTCGTCCGGTAATATCGATAATCGCAATTTAATCAATTACAAGAGAGACAGGTTTAAACAGAATAAACTCATCAATTCAACTATTTTACTCTTTATTGCTACAATAATATACATTCGGCGTTGACGTGTGCGTCGGCCGAGTCCGGGCTAAGTTCGTTCCGTGCGAATTAACGCACAGGAAACAGAACGTCACCTTACAACGTATCTCGCGAATTCCGCGAGGGCGATGGGAGTTCACGCATGCAACCGCTCGTCCGCGTCCGGCCTATACGATGCTAGGAGAGAGAGAAATCGAGGTACGCACCGAGAAACAAAAAGGGTACCTGACCTTGAGAGGGAGCGCTGCTGCGGAAGTCCGCGTCCTCTGAGCAAACGATGTTGTCTTCGAAAGGCGAGATTCTGGATGCAGCCGGTCTTCCTTCTTACTGATGGTCGTTCAATGGCAATCAACTACTCGAACACTCACTGATGCTAGTCACAAGGCTTGAATAGCTGGCAATTAGTCACTGGTCGAAACCCTACTGACTGTGATCTCGCGCCTTCCGCGATTTCTTACGCGCCCCTCCCTATAAGTACTCAAAAACGGCCGAGCGCCGCCGGCTATGCACACATGTGCGGCTCATGCCGGCGACACTATTTCTCTCTCTCCTCCTCTGCTCCCCGCTCACGCCTATCCCTCCAACGCCAGGCATCTCCGCCGATCAGGAATCAGACCTGCAACAAAGCCACATCGTGCGTCGATACTCGGTTTTACTCAACCAAGACCGATGTGGCAGCGGCTCAGGGGAAGGCACGCGGAAGAGAGAGAGAGGCGAACAGGGCGATCGAATTCTACGATCGATTCGCCCGTCACAGACTTAGCATCCCAAAAGATATTACAAAGAAAATTTAAGTTATAAATAGTTGCTCTATAGATAAATTACATTATTTATACAACTTATTTTCAAATTATATTGTTATGTCATAAATATTTGATACCTGAAATAATCTCGACAAGTTGGAAGCTCATAAGAATCAGTTTCTTGTTCTTCTTTTTGAAATACAATTATATCACCGTCCATTAATTCTTCCAAAACTTTCTCTAACGGTTCAGAAAGATTTTCTATTTTTTCAACCATATTAGGTTTTATTTCTTCATATAATATTAGATTTGTAGTTTGTGAATAGCCAGCCCGCTTATTCAGTATCGGTAAAAGTTCCTCTGTAAAAAGTGTACACTTATGTTTATTTAATAATAGATTGTATTGTTGCGATTAGAACAAAAAATAAGAAGCCAGAAAACTGTATCTACATGAAAAATAAATCAGTAATTAATATTTTTACAGTGAATACAAGAGTAATCTTATTAGGATACAATCTGATCAATAAAATTGATTGCATACGAAACCTTCATTTTTAGAACGATTCTGTACAGGATAAAGACAAATGTGACAAAGATATAAAGGTAGGTACATAAAAAGAAGATCAACATAAATATGTTATGCTCAATATTGTTAGCAACCTCATAGGCATTTATTCAAGCAAAGTAAAAAATAGTAGATTAAAATTTTTTAAATTTAATTCTTTAATATTCTATCCCCTTGAATGTCAATATTAGCGACCACACGCACGCGCGCGCGCGCACACAGACACACACACATCACTGACGTTTCATATCAAACGTGCCACGGAGCTGCCGAGAAATGATATGCACTAATATTAAAGTTATAGAACTCAACATTTTCGTAATTTTATTTAAGAAATTTCGTAAGCTCTAACAAATAATATATGACGATTAAAAAAATCAAGATAGAGATACCAATATGACGGCTGAAAGCATGACAAATTATGCTAAAAAGGTTTCATTAAAACTAATATCAAAAAAATTTTTTTTCACCTAAAAATATTTATACTATATGTTTTCGAGGTCACATCCGATAGAGCTTAAAATTACGAATATTTTTAGCGCTATAACTTTTAAATCGGTGCATACCAATTCTTGATAACTCGGTGGCACGCTCTCTCGTGTACATATCGTGTCTCGCTACTGATCTCTAGGGCGCCTTCTCAAGCGCTTCCCGTCGGTACATTTTTGGATGTCTGTGCATCAGCCTTGTAGGTAGCGATAGTTAATGTGTGGCGCTCAAAATGTCGTAGGTGGTGCGCTAATGCTTGGCACAGCTAATTGCCGTTTGCTGCCTCATTCACAATTTTCTGGTCGTACCAAGTGTCAGCTTCTTCGAAGTATTTGTGGTAGTGTTCGAGTGTATAATGTATCCTTAGTTTTATTCGCGTGAAATTTCGTTGCGTTTTCCGTTTGATTTTCTCGTCCTTTTTCTCAAGCCGGCAACACATTGTCGGGAGTGTGTATGTGCGTGCACTCTTTTTTTCTCGTCAGCCGTCAAATCGCTTTTCGACTTATTGTGACGTTTTTTCGGGCGTGGGTGGACGAATTTGGAAATAGAAAGGTATTTCTGTTAGATTGCAAGTTGGGCTCTAATTATTTGTTTGATTACGAGGGAATAATAGACGGAGATGGCTTTCCTGTGGCGTTTCAAATAGTTCAATACTCTCAGGTTAAGCCTTGTAATGCACAACATTACAACTTTCAGCATTGAATAGAATATAGACTTGGCAAATAGTAATTAATTTATTTAATTAATGGGTATCATTTTGGCAATAGACATGTTATGATGAGATACCATAAACTTTATAGATAGTATTCTGAAAAACTTTTTTTTCCGTGGATAAATTGTTTTACAAATATGAATGATATCCTATTTTGTTGTGCAAAGGAAATGACATCCTATTGTGTAATGCAAAGTTTGCGACTCAAAAACTAGATGTGATTACATGGCAATTAATGTAAAAATAAATTTAAAAAAATGATTTCTTCATACTTTGATAAAATTTGTTTTAATGAGGTATATTCTATTCTTTTAAATTATTTTATAAGATTTTTTCAATTTATCCTATTTTTGATTTGAATTGAATATATTTTTTCTTTCAGATTATTATTACAACCATTTATCAACATCTATAATGTGTTTGTTTGCGCTTATAGCCAGTGGCTGGCTGCTTTCATTTAGCTCCTTTAAGCACATATGTAATTTATTTTAATAATATACATTTATACACATGTATAAAAATTAATATAGAAAATAAAATTTTATTCGAAAAAAAAACTATAATAAAAATCAATTTTATTATTATATATTTACTTGAATTATATACATATAATTCATATATGAAACTAGAATATTACGACTAAGCCAAATGCAATTTATCGTTATAAAATTAGTTAAGTAAATAAGTAACTACTTTCAAATAAATCAAAAATTAAAGGTAACCACATTGACCTATTTCTCTGTATTTTGCATACATATTAGATTAAATTTTATACTATTATTCAACCCAGAAATACATGATCTCATAAAAATATTATGTCAAATTCAGATCATCCGTGGCTGAAACCATTTCTTTACGACTTAGTATATTGTGACGGTAAACGTCTTATTAGCGCTGACAGCCCAACCATGCGGCTGCCTGCGAGGGCAGCACCTATCGGTTCGGGAAAGATGTGACGAGGGAATTCGGCACGCGACGAGACGGAACACGCGCGTATGAAAATGAACTAGTCGAGGATTAGCTATTGATATCTCCAGCTGGACTTGAAGATTAGGATCCGTACACTCAGCTACTGCTAATAACGATCAGAGTTTTTCCCGAGTTTTCTTGGAGTGCTAGGAGGATTAGCTATCGATATCGCCTGATAGAGTCAACTGATAAGGATCGAGAGGAGCTGTGCCTGACCTAAACCAGAACGATGCGTGCTAGTGTGCGTGAGTGAGCAGTTTCGCCATCGAGGGCGAAACCGAAAACGCGAGATACCTTGTAACAAAGACTAACTTTTCCGCAACTAGGGTGCGAACTTTTACTCTCGTGCTACCGTACAACTGCTAATAAGGTAAGCTGGCCAGCTTAATTTCGCGATTGTAATAGAATTGATAATAACTAATCTTTCGTACTCAATAAGAATCGTGCGATCCGACACTGCATATTATTGTCGCGCGCACGTCTTGTAAACATAAACACGCGGGCCGAATACATTGTAGACTTTAGAGAAAATAAACGATCTCGCTTGTGATATTAACCATAATTCTGATATTATTATTTTGCGTTAGTAGAAAGTTGGTTGACTGACACCCGTTCCCTCCTGCTCTCCGATTTTCGAATTTGAACGTGTAGATAATCACGCGCGCTCTTCGATGCGATCGCGCGCATAATTAAGTAAACGGATAGCTACCTCGTTACAATATATACAAATATTACATAGATGCTCACTGGATAGCTTTTTATTACAATACGCATTTTATTCATATTAATGATTTGTGGAATTTAAATCAGTTATATATTTACCATAAATAGTTCTCAATGCAATTATTTCCTTGTTTAACTAAAAATAGAAAGAGAGAAAATATTTCTTGCACGAATGCAATGTTAAAGAAACAATAATAACTTTAGTATTTTAGCCATTTACCACATCTATTTTTATTAGGCGAAATCCTTAAAAAATCAATTATGATTATCAAAAAATAAGGAGTCATCTTTACGACGTTTTAAAATCATAATTTGATACTTTTTCCACTTATACACATTTATTCAACATTGGTTAAAAGCAATTGATAAAATTTGTATAAATCTGTCATTACTAATTAGAGAAACCAATGTGAAATAGAACATTCGTGCACTAAACAGAACAAGCAAATAAATGAAATGAATAATAAGTATTATAATCTAATGCTTCTAGAAAGTCATTCATATTCAATGTACATATAATATAATGTACATGTATGAAAAATCGTCGGTTTGCCTAATTACGATATGGTTTCTTGTTATGCAAATACATCGATTCATAGTTTATTGAACTGTATATCAATTAAAAGAAATCTGGATAATAACACTGAAGATAATAATACCCCAATAATGTCAATGTAATCAGAACCAGTGTTATAATAGGTTTAAGAATTTTTGTTAATATTATGAACCGGAAACTTGTTCAACGAGATGTACCAGAATTCATTTTCATCAGTCATTTTCTTAGCAAACCCGAAAAGTCACGGCCTTTAGTTGAGTATAATTTCTGCCCATGTTTTAGACGTGTTAACAAAAAATTCAATCAAGTGCATGCACTTACCAGAAAATAAATTAGCTTGTTATATTACATGAATTAATTGACATAAATTTAAGTGCCTCTGGCTATAACTGATGTTGAATGCACGTTTTGTAAAGAAGGGATTATTTTATGAGTCGATAACTGTTACTACTAATAATTGCAACGGAGAATCTCGGCTAGGCCGATTTCGTCCGTTTGGCTCTCGCAAATATCCGTGCGCCGCGCCAAGCTAAGAGTGTGTGCGTGTGGCATGCACACTCATGCTTAGATTTTTGCTTTCGAGGTGTTGTTTACGGGCTGAGCTGACATCTGGAGTGATCGAGATGGCGCAGAAGAAGAGAGAGAGAGAGAGAGAGAGCGCTCGAGTTGCGGATCATCGCGGAAAATTTGAGAGTCTCTACTAGGCTTTGAGCAGAGAAAGTCGTGCGCGCGGATTAAAACCGAAGTCAACGGTTTTCCGAAGTTGCCCCTGCGACCACGTCAACGTTTTCGTTTTCGGAGATACGCCCGGTGCGCGGACGAGTATTAGGGTGTGTGGCTGGGTCGCACCCAGCCGTGTCCCAAAGGATACACGGTACCGGTGTGTATGGGTAACCGGCGAGGTGCACGGGCGCGCGCATGAGTGGACTTTAACACTGATGCTGTACCGAGTAATAGAAGGACAGTGAAAGCAACAACAACAGCAATCAACGAGTGGAACAACAGAGTAAAGCAGTAAGATTGATAAAGCGAACGAGAGGACGAGCAAGAGGACAAACAACGAGACAAATAAATAATTTGTGCGGACGGCCGCGAGCTAGCCAGACAGGAACGGTCGCATATTCTCCGTTACATAATAAAATTTTAGTTGTGCAAGTACAACTTTTTGCATGAGGTGGAGCAAAAGTTATGAAAATAAACAATTTTATCCTTTACATTATTACAAAGTATATTTATATTAATAATAAAATATATTTCATTCAAAGTGTAAGAGCTCACTAAGGAAATATGCTAAATAATGGACACTATTTTAACATTTTATGACAAGTTAAATATTAGTTCTCGAT